TATTAACCGTCATCCAGTCCATTATCAGGTCCAGACATGAGTTCAGCACAGAAACCGCCTTACCCGGATTGGTGGAAAATAAGATAGAGCCGAGTGTCATCAGCATATTGCTGACTCCTCAGCGCAAACCTCCTGATGACCTCTCCCAGTGGTTCCATGTAGATGTTAATTTCTTTGCAGTCACAGAAAATTTGTTCTTTCAGGCGAAAAAGCATTGCAGCTCAGTGAATGAACAACACTTTGGTGCACAGAAGGTCCTAAGTTCAATTCTCTGGAATCTCCAAGAAATCCTGCAGGCTCTGTGCCAGTCAATGTGTTGACAAGGTGAAACTAGCTCACCTTGATCCTGAGCAGGTGTGTGTAAGCCCATCTCCCACCATCCCCAGCACAGAAAATGGATTTTATTCCAAGACATCCAATGGGTGTCAGGTTTTGAACAGCCTACTATTTGGAAAGAATGCCCCCTAGTGGCTGTCCAGATCAAAACCACCCATTATTGTCAGGGGTCATTGATGCAGGAGTTCCCTCTAGTGTCCAAAAGGGAATGGCTGCCTCTTCCAGTTGGGATTTTGCAGAAAAGGGAGATCCTGGGTGAGAAAAGCAGGTCCTTTATGTGATTTCAGAACAAACTGACCTCCCTTCCCCACCTCCTCCAGCAGCTGGCCACTCAGAGGAGGAGGTGGAGCACGGGATTCCTGGAGCACTGCCTGCAAGTGGTCAGTTGCTGGAGGAGGTAGAGAAGGGAAGTCTCTGCTCCTGCTGAGATTGTGTGATGGGAGGGAACAAGCAACACACGCTGGCTGGGGAGGGGGGATGCTGATGAGGAAAGTGGCGGAAGTGAAAGTGCGGCACCGCTGGCGCGCCAACAACTTAGGATGGCTTGACATGAAGTGCTTTGTGCCCATTCAAAGCGACTTCAAACCTGAAGTGTTCAGTCTTAACACCGTCTGCAAATAGCGGAGATGATGGTATCTTTCGGGACTGAGCAGCTGCTTCTAAACAGGCCTGGATCATGAGAACAACGAGAAGCGTTGGACTTTGGCTGTACCATTCAGACACCGTCTGTAAATACAGAAGCATGCTTCATGTGCATGTGCATACATGTGTACATGTCATGTCCTCCTTTCCTTGCAGCTTGTGCTGAAATAGACCTGGAGTATAGAACCACTGCACACACACATACACATACAGCACAGTTATAATTTTTTTGGGGGGGGGGAACAGTGCATTCTTAACGAGGGCAGGAGGCTGAAGATCCTTCGTCATTTTTTTTCTGCTGCTGCAAGAGCTGGAGGCTTTTATACTGCCAAGGGTCCTTCCCTCTTTCCTACCCCTTTCAACCCACCCTCGGCACAGACTCCAGGATGAAGACAACACAGATTTTGTTTTTCTGATCCAGAGGATTGTGACCAGAACAACAGAGTAACCGCAGCAACAAGGCAAAAAAGTGGTTCAAATGCTCAGAAAGGAGAGTTCACCGAAAGACCAGGGAGACTCTCTTGATGGTCAAGGCCACGTGACAGTGGAAGGTGCTGGGAGGTCTCCAGATCGGATGTTTTGGCTGCAGAATTGGGGGGGGGGAATACTCTGTGCATATTTAGAGAGCCTGCATGGGATAGAGGGTCTCAGTGGAATCTGGGTTCAAATCTCTGCTCAGCCAGGAACATTCACGGGGGTGGGGGTGGTAATGGTGGCCGTGCTACCATTCCTTGGTAATGGTCATCCATTGGTTTCAAATTTACCTCTCAGGAGCTAAAAAGCCGGGATTCTTTGGGGAAGGGACTGCAAAAAACCAGGATCCCCCAGCCGGTCTGTTTCATGTAGTGTTTATTTGCAAGGTTCATCTTCACTCATCTCTAGAGCAGTGGTTCCCCAACCTTGGGTCATCTGGATGTTCTTGGACTGCAACTCCCAGCTGTGCTGGTCAAGATTTTTCTGGGAGTTGCAGTTCAAGAACTCCTGGTGACCCAAGGTTGGGCACCTCTGGTCTAGGCCAAAAGCTGCCCTTCTACAGGCAGCAAGCTGGAAGGAGAAGACAAGTTACAACCATCCCCCCCACACACACACACACTCCCTCAAAGCTTCAATTTCCAGCTTGCAGGTGAGTCTTGTCTCAAGGGAAAACAGCTGCCACACCTTCGGCGAATGGCTTGAATTGTTGCTTCCCCCGAGTCCTCTAAATTGTTCACCCCCCAAAACCTTAGGAAGCTTTGCAGACTTTCGAAGCCGGCTGTGTGAGCCGATGGTGCCATGGTAGTATCTCTGTCCTGCTTCTAGAGGTTCAAGCCAATGAAGGGCTCCTAGAGAGACGTCTTCAATCTCGCTCCGTGCTGCTCTTTCTAGGGCAGACCTGGGCAAAGTGTGGCCCGCGGGCCACATACGGCCTGTGAGCCGCTCTTGTCCGGCCCGCCGGTCGTCACTCCAGTCCTAAAAAAATTTAGGGAGTTAACGATGTCAGCCTTTTAGTTCGTTCACCGCAGGGCATCACCCAATGGGGGGCCTATTACTACCCACAAATTGGGAGCCCATCACTACCCACCTAATGGGGGCCTATTTTTAAGTAAAGTTGGTTTGGCCCCCAAAAACAGTTCAGATTTTTCATGTGGCCCCTCTGTAGAAATTCATTGCCCACCCCTGTTCTAGGGAGACCGGGAGAGATGCTGAAGGGGGCAAAATAAATTGACCCGCTACCTGCCATCCAGCTATGGTATTAAAAAGCCCAATCATCATAATAGTAATCTGCCATCAGGGCAATGCTGACTTCTAGCAACCTTTTAAAGGTTGCTAGAACCTTCTCTCTTAAGGAGAGAATACAGTACTCAAAGGTCATTTCCCCATCCCCTTCTTCTGGGGGTATTTCTGGAACTGGGTGCAGCTGGCCCAAGGCTACCCAGGGTGGCTTTTTTTCCTGGAGGCCCATTGGGAGAATCGAACTCCCAACCTCTGGCTCCATAGCCAGAGACCTAAACCCCTGAGCTATCCAGCCAGCTTCAAGTGGGCAAAAACGGAAATGAACTATTATAGGCATTCTAGGGCGGAAAGATTTTGCCAAACCAAGGGATGCTGAAGGTTTTTTTTTTCATGGAAATCCCTACCACACAAGAAAACTGCCATGGCAGAAGGGATCTTGTATACCAAGCCATACTGTAATGCCACCAAGGGATGCTGAACTAACTAGCATGAGAATGCAACACAGCACCCTAATATTGAATATCTAATATAACCAGAGATCACCCTCTCATTATGATCAAAAGGTAAGAAAAATGCACCTACGGATCTGGATCTGCCCCCCCCCAACATAGTGGGCTACTTGCACTCCCCTTCTGCCTTGTGATGGAGGCCAGATGACTGGTTGTTCTTTAGTCATTAAGTCGTGTCTGACTCTTCGTGACCCCATGGACCAGAGCATGCCAGGCCCTCCTTGTCTTCCACTGCCTCCCAGAGTTGTGTCAAATTCATTCTGGTAGCTTCGATGACACTGTCCAACCATCTCTCATCCTCTGTCGTCCCCTTCTTCTCTTGCCTTCACACTTTCCTAACATCAGGGTCTTTTCCAGGGAGTCTTCTCTTCTCATGAGATGACCAAAGTACTGGAGCCTCAGCTTCAGGATCTGTCCTTCCAGTCAGCACTCAGGGTTGATTTCCTTAGTTTTGTTCTCCTTGCAGTCCAGGGGCCTCTCAAGAGCCTCCTCCAGCACCACAATTCAAAAGCATTAATTCTTGGAACTGGAAACCGTTCAGAAGAGAGCAACTGAAATGGTGACTGGGCTGGGGCACCTCCCTGATGAGGAAAGGCTACAGCATTTGGGGCCCCTGAGTCTAGAGAAAGGCACTTGATGGGGGGCACGACAGACATATAAAATTCTGCAGGGGATGGATCAAGTGAAGAGGGAAGCTCTTTTCCTTTTCACGCAACACCAGAACCAGGGGACATCAACTCCAATGGAGTGTTGGGAGAGTGAGAACAGACAAAAGAAAATATTTCTTGACCCATCGTGTGGTTAGTCCGTGGAACTCTTTGCCACAGGATGGGGTGATGGCATCTGGCCTAGATGCCTTGAAATGGGGATTGGACAGATTCCTGGAGGAAAAGTCCATTGCAGGTGACAAACCATGATGATGGCGATGTACAATCTCCAGGCTTCGAAGGAAGGTCCCTCCAAAGGCTGGATGCAGGGGAGGGGGATCAGGAGACAGGTCTCCAGAGAGAAGCCAGAACTGTAGCAGTAAGGAGCCAAGCTTTCTCAGTAATAGTCCCCCTTTGCGGAATAAATTAACCAGTGGAGATGTGCTACACTCTTTCTCCCCCACTATTCATGAGAAACTACTCAAGAGAGAGTTAAATAAGGAAGCCCTTCAGGATGCCTTACTCTCAAATGATGTTAATTTTAACATTTGAACCTCAGTTTTTCATGGCTCACCACAATGAAGTCACTTACATCACCATTTTGATTGTGTTGTTATGTTTTACGGGAATGAAGTGGGTGGAGGTTGTAGTGTTTCGCTTGCTTGTACACTGCTCAGAGTAGCATGAATTCACTAATTGGGTGCTATATAAATTGAATTAATTGATTAACTGAAGCCAAGACACAGGGAATAGGTTACCCCATAAGATCAAACCCTGCCTGGCCCAGGGTTCAAGGCAAGCTGCTGAAGTGTCTGGATCGCAGCCAGATCGATCAGTGCTGTTGTGATACAAAGCCATGGGGTCATCCAAGCTGGAACGTGGGGGACCCAGGCGGGCATGGGGGAAAAACACAAACACACAACTTACTGGAAGTAAAAGACAGGCCACACCTTTATTGATTACAGCTGCCACGAGACCTGAAGCAACCACAGAAGATGGATCCGTGTCAGCCAACCCACCTGTCCACTGATGGTGGACTAAGATGACCAGAACCCAAGGTTAACCACGTGGGCGTCGACCACTGTGTGGCCCTGCCAGCCACCCCAGGGCAGAGAGTTTGAAACAACCTGAGCTAATCCTCACAATGGGCCTCTCTCTTGCCTTTTGAAGAGGAATCGCCAAGGAGGGCCAAACACCTAGCAGCCACCCCACCCCCAATTTGGCCTGATTCCACTTCCAATACAATTGTGATAAAATGAACAATCACCCCCATTACTGTACTACCAAGAAATTGTTTGATAAAACCAAGAACGAAACGAAGGGCGGCTGGGTGGGAGAAGATCCAACACAGAAGGACTGTTGAGAGCTTCAGCAGCCCCTGAGAGATCCCAGAGGAGGACCAGATTGGAAACTTCTCCTCTCCTCTCTGCATGTGGGTGAAAGCTCTGTCCCCATCCAACCTGATCTGGCCTCAGAAAAAGCCCGCAAAACCATGCTGCCTTCCCAGAAGGAGAGAGTCAGCCATCTCCTAAAATGGCGGCCACTACATTGCCTGTCCACCACAGCCGCTGGATGACAAATACAGTCAGAGGCTGCTATTTATACAGAGATTCTCAACAATGGTGTGCCGTCAAGTCCATTCTGACTTAACGGCAACTTTTCTCAGGGTTTTCCAGGCAGAGAATATTTAGTAGGTTTTTCCCCTTCCCTTCATCTGGGGGTGCCCTGGGACTGTGCAGCTGGCCCAAGGCACATAGGCTGGCTCTTCCTTCAAGAGGCCTAGCGGGGGAATCCAACTGTCAACCTCTGGTTTCACTGCCAGATCCCTAAATCATGGAACTATCCAGCCAGCGATGCACAGAGCTGTGGTTCCCAACCTTGAGTCCTCAGAGTTTCTTAGACTACAACTCCCAGAATTCTTGGCCAGCACAGCTAATGGTGGAGGCTTCTGGGAGTTTTAGTCCAAGAACATCTGGAGACCCAAGGTTGGGAACCCCCAGCATAGGTGTTGTCAGAAACATTCATCCCCACAGGAATCTTTAATTAACAGCATTTGTATACAGTATATCCTTGAGTTGCTTGCTGGCAAAAAATACCCCTTTCACCTCTACCATCTCGACAACTTCCCCCTCCATCTATGGGTATGGGTATGGGTATGGGTATGGGTATGGGTATGGGTGTGTGTGTGTGTGTGTGTGTGTGTGTGTGTGTGTGTGTGTGAGAGAGAGAGAGAGAGAGAGAGAGAGAGAGAGAGAGAGAGAGAGATTGGGAAAAGGATTTGTGACAAGCAGATTTCCTCACGTACTCCCCAGGGGTGGCTTATGGTCAAAGCAGGAAGTGGGTCAAAATGGGAGTCAGGTCCCCTTCTAGAAGCAGGTCCTAAGCTTCAGGCAGAGATTCCTAGTCTCTCCATGGCTTCATTCCAGCAGGGACTTAGCTAGCAACTTGATTGAGTCACAAATTGAAATAACAGATTTACCATGACATGTGCATGCAAATAACCTTTTCCTTGTTATCTCGGAGAATCTTCCTTCCATTCATAAACTATCATTTACCATGTTAGTCTTCTGTCAGAATTGCTTTCCTCTTTTAACTCACAACGCAGAACTGCTTATCAGGAGCCCCTCTTCTGGGTTTGAGCAACACCCTCATTTATTCATGCACTATTTCAAAACGTTAATCTTCCTAGCATTCGATCACATCTCTTTACTCTAACTGGCATAGACCTCTCTTATTGGTTTTCCCTGGCAATCCAATCAAGGTGACCTTCCTGAGGGAGAGATTAATTACTCCTTTTATAACTGCCAGGACTCTATAGTTATCTCTAATTCCCCCGCCCCTTTTCCAAAATTAGGATTTCTTGCTCCATTACTCTCTCTGTCTGCTCTTCAATAAGCGAATCCTAAGTGACATTTAGCTCCCAGCCTTGTATTTTCAACAGTAAATAAAGCCTGATATATGAACAAAACATTTCTTATCCTCCTTGCAGCCTTATAGCTCCTCTGCCGTGACAGTTCTGATGCTTCAAATAAGCAGAACATCATTCGTAACCTTTACAAGTACGAAAGCATTGGTAGCTCACGAATGTTGAACTTTTAAGTGAAATATTTCCCACAGAACTGGAAATTCAAGGGTTGCTCCCTCATGACCTGATAGTAGAACATTTTCCATACTTCTGTCACTGCATGGATTCCTGTGTGTGTGTGGACCCTGTGGTGGATTAATAATAATCACAGTAACAATAATAATCATATGCCATCAAGTAAGTTCTGTCTTGTGCCATCCCTTCTCTAGGTTTTCCAGTTATACTCAGAAGTGGTTTGCCAGTACAGCGGTGCCTCGCTAGACGATTGCTTCATTTAATGATGAATTCGCTTAACGATTAGTTTTCCGGAGCGATCTTGCGCTCTTTTTAACAATGTTTCCTATGGGCAATTTTCGCTCTACAATGGTGGGGACCTTGCTTCGCAAGACGGTTAATTTTCGGGTCCCTGTGTTTCGCTTTACAATGGTTTTGACAGCTTGGGTTCGCTTCGCTAAACGGGCGTTTGAATGGTCGCTGTTTTGTTAGATGGCTGTGTTCGTTTGGGAAACGCGTTTCGCTTAATGATGTTTCCTATGACGATTTTCGCTTTACGATGGCAATCCGTTCCCATTGGAACGGATTATCAGGGTTTCAATGCATTTCAATGGAAAATTGTTTCGCTTAACGACGAAATCGCTTGACAGCGATTTTTGCGGAACGCATTAACCTCGTCTTGCGAGGCACCACTGTACATTCCTTTCAGGGCTGTCTGGGGCCATCCAGCTCACGAAAGGCTACATACGTTCCCAGTTCTTCTCCCAGGAAGAACTGGGAACGCTTGACTACTAGTACCACAGCTGGGGGCACTAAGTCAGTCAACCGTCACACCAGCTCTATGGCAAGCTAGCAAGATGAACTGTAACAAAACATTTTCTGGTCTTCTTTTCTTTTGTATATATTTTCAAGAATCACAAGGTATGGATTCAGAGGGAAACATTTCCCGTATATGTCATTCTTACTGCTTCTCTCCTGTGTGGAGTTTCTAATGGGTCAGACTTTCTGCCTTGCAAAGAAAATATTCTCCACATCCTGGCAATTGTACAGTTTCACTCCGTTGTGGATGCCTTCATGGACAAGAAGAACTGAATCATTAGCAAACCCTTTCCCACATTCCTGGCATTTATAAGGTTTCTTTCTTACATGGACTCTCTGGTGGATCTGTAGATTTGAACTCTGGGAAAAACTTTTCCCACACTCCTTGCATTTGTATGGTTTCTCCCCTGTGTGCACCCTCTGATGCCTCATAAGGTCCGACTTATGCGCAAAACATTTCCCACACTGGTGACATTTGTATGGTTTCTCTCCTGAGTGGAGAGTCTGGTGCATGAGAAGGGTTGAATTCTGAGCAAAGCATTTCCCACACTCCAGGCATTGGTATGGTTTCTCTCCTGTGTGGACTCTCTCATGCTTCATAAGGTCTGACTTGTGAATAAAACACTTTCCGCACTCCTGGCATCTGTAAGGTTTATCTCCTGTGTGGACTGTCTGATGATTCAGAAGTTGTGAACTGTGAGCAAAACATTTTCCACACTCTTGACATTTGTAAGGTTTCTCTCCTATGTGGATTCTCTGGTGCTTCACAAGGTTTGAATTCTGAGCAAAAGCTTTTCCACATTCCTGGCATCTGTAAGGTTTCTCTCCAGTGTGGACCCTCTGATGGTTCAGAAGCTGTGAACTGTGAGCAAAACACTTCACACACTCCTGACATTGGTATGGTTTCTCTCCTGTGTGGACTCTTTGATGCTTCACAAGGTTTGAATTCTGAGCAAAACATTTCCCACACTCTTGGCATTTGTACAATGTCTCTCCAGTGTGGACTCTCTGATGGTTCATAAGCTGTGAACTATGAGCAAAACAGCTCCCGCACTCCTGGCATTTGTACGGTTTCTCTCCTGTGTGAATTCTCCGATGGCTTAAAAGGCTTGACTTCTGAGCAAAACATTTCCCACATTCCTGACACTGGTACGGCTTTTCTCCTGTGTGGACTGTCTGGTGAATCAGCAGGTTTGAACTCTGGGAAAAACATTTTCCACACTCTTGGCATTGGTATGGTTTCTTTCCTGTGTGTACAGATTGATGCTTTACAAGGTTTGAGTTTGAAGCAAAACATTTTCCACATTCTTGGCACTTGAATGGTTTCTCTTCTGTAAATAAGATATAAATGAATGAAATAATGATTGAATCAATGAATGAATGAATGAATGAACAGTTTGATGAATCACAAGGTCAGATTTCTAAGTAAGACATACTTTAAACTCCTGGCATTTTCCTCCTGGATGTTATCTCTGGTTGCTCCTAATATGCAATTTACAAATAAAACCTGTCCCAGAAATTTCACATCTAAGACTGCTCTTTGAAGTTTGCATAATCACAATTTGGGGAGGGAGGATTTCCCCCCCACACACATTATGCATTTGTTGGTTTCTCTCTGATATTACAATAGGACCCCTGTATCCAGGGAGGATTGGCTTCAAGCTTTTCCACAGATGCTGAAAAACGTGGATTATAGTGAACACTACGTATTTTAGTGGCAAACACTATACATAACATGGTCTTAAGTGCCTTCTAGTGGCCAGTTCTGGTAACTTCATTTTTTAAAAATACCGTGTTTTTCCATTTATAAGACGTCCCAAAGTATAAGACGGTCCCTCCCTTTTCTAACCCCCAAATTAGAAAATTTGTTCCCCGCAGGGCTTAGAAAATGGGTAACACAGCCGTGAAAGGGCTGCATGATCATAAGGGCTGCACCCCTTTGATTCTGAAGCAGCCATGAAAGGGCTTCATCCCTTTAGGGGTGCGACTGTGCAGCCCTTCACGGCTGCTTTACCCAAAGGGAGCCTTCCCTTCCTTTTTGCTAAGCCCTGTGGCTTTGGAAAAGACAGGGAAGGTGGCTGCCTTCTGTGTCTAAAACGACCCTCAATTTTTTTGTCTAATTATTTAAGGAAAAGGTGTCGTTTTATACACGGAAAAATATGGTATATTTTGGGGGGGGGGTTTCTTTTAATACAGTATTTTAAATATTTTCAGACAAAGGATAAGTGAATCAGTGGATATTGATTCCACAGATGAGGGGCTCTTCTGTGTGGGTTTGTTGATCTTTGGGAAAGCTCAATTTGTGATTAAAACACTCCCCGCACATATGTCTAGGTCCTTCCATTTAACTGCTGCGAAGAAGTAAGACTCAATTCCAAATCTCGGTGTGATGGAACCTCAAAGTTTGAAAGAGACTATCTCAAACTCAAACCCTCTGTAATCCATCTGGTGTTCCAAGAACGCACTTCCTTCAAATCTTAGCACTCCTTTATCTTGCTTTTAAGTTTTATTTTCATTTCAGATGCTGAAATGAAGCTTTTAATTCTTTGTTTCTGGTTTTTAACCAGAAGTTTTATTATGTGTCATCTTTAGACTTTATTTTATTAAATGCCTGTTGTAATTTTAATGTATGCTACACACTGCCCAGAGAATCTTGGCTATCAGGAAGGAGATTTTAAAACTATAATTAACAAAACTGATAAATATATCAATCATTAATTACAGGAATGAGGGCATGAATAGGTGGCTGGGAGGACCATTCTAATAGGAGATTTCACTCTCTAAAGATTTTTGGTGATACAATTTACTTTTTAGGATGATTTTTGGGGGGAGTGGAAGACTGCATTCTTTCTGATTATACATACTGGGAGGGCTTTATTCAGTATTTTCAGGCAGTGGATAAACGAATCAGTGGATACTGATCCTGTGGATAAGGGGGTCCTACTGTAATTAATTACTGGTAGTTACATTATTTTAATGCATTATTTCGAAACATTGAGATAGCTGAGTTACAGTTAAGGATTTTTCCCCTAGGCAACTGCTGTCAGGACTTGTGGGTTGTGCTTGCTCAAGCCGGCGTACCTAAAGGGTTTTCCGATCTTGGAGCTGAGATTTCCATTCCATCCAAATCTTGTGAATCTTCTCCCACCTCCATCAGAGAAATGAGCTGAAGCTTTGGACCTGGAGTTAAATTAGGAAGAGAGGTGTGAGAGTCAGGAGTCTTTTACAGAGGTGGAAGACATTCTGAATATTTAGGAGACCAAATTACGTTAAACTAAATTAAATATCATAGCGATGGAGTATATTGAGCACCAGCCATTGGTTATAACCTGCACTGAATTTTTCTTTTTAAAAACAACACTGGCAAAGCTTTACAAATCTCTCTCTCTCACACACACACACACACACATCCCTGTCATGAGACTATTTTCTGAGCACTTTTTCCACTGGATCCTTCAGAGTCCAGCATTTTTCCTCAAGATGGGGGAAATCAAAGCACACTGGGTACATCTGTAAGAGATAACCAGTGTGGGTTAGTGCAGTGGTTCCCAACCTGGGGTCCCCAGATGTTCTTAGACTGCAACTATCATAAATCCTGGCCAGCATATAACAGTGGTAAAGTCCTCTGGAAGTTCTGGTCCAGGAACCCCTGGGGACATAACGTTGGCAACCACTGATGTAGTGGACAGAGTGATGCACTAAGGAGAACTGGGTTCAAATCCCTGCTCAGCCACAGAGGCTCACTGGGGGTGTGGAACTGATAAAAATCACTCCTTAAATATGCCACTTACCTTGAAAGATCTATTAGGGTCCCTATTAAATCAGCTCTGACTTGATAGCACATAACGTAACATATATGTAAGAACAAGACTAGATTTCTGAAACTATAAACACAGAACTATGCCAGAGCTAGGAGACAATACAGTGGTGCCTCACATTATGACGTTAATTCGTTCCAGCGAAATCGCTGTAGAACGAAAACGTCGTAATGCGAAAATGAAAAGCCCATTGAAACACATTTAAACCCCTTCAATGCATTCCAATGGGCTGGAAATTCACAGTCCAGCGAAGATCCTCCACAGGGCAGCCATTTTC